CTTTCTTGTTGATCTCCCTTTTGAGTTCTCGTGTAAGCCACTGAGGGCGGTTGGATGTCCTAGGCTTTGATAAGGGACAGTGGTTCTTCATTAGATGCAGTTAACGATCCTTGAATAAATTCCAGTCCTCGTTAACGTTTCCGGAGAAGAGAACATCCCAGTCTATTTGTGATGCCTCAGCTCTCATTTGGCGAAAGTCCCCTTTCCATATATTTGGCCTCGTATTGTCGTTTGTACACGGTTCAGAATACAGCAAGTACTCGCATAAAAGCACTGCATGATCACTTCGACCGAGCGGGGGTAGGTAGTACACCTCGTCTATACTGACAGGATCTTTGGTAAAAACGAGGTCCAGACAACTGGCCTGTTGCCCTCCACGAGCTCTAGTTGGAAACAGGACATGTTGCGTGAGTAGAGCTTCTAGGGTTGTCTTTAGTAGATGGTAATCGAAGGTATTCATCGAGCACTTCGCATGCATATCGCTCCATTGAATGCATGGTGCATTAAAATCCCCCATGATAACAACGTCTGGTCGGCTGGCGATCTCTTTTATGCTTTTCAGTAGACAAGTATCTGGGTCGGGATCCGCCTGCGGGGGCCGGTAGATAGTTAAGACTTCGAGGGACTGAGATCCCCGCGCCTTTATAGTCAGCCAAATTGCCTCTGTGTCGTTAGAAATCTTGTCGGTCCTCTCACACACTGCTAAGTTGCTCTTGACATACATGGCAACTCCTCCACCCCGGCGGCCTCTCCTGTCTCTCCTAAACAAATGGTATCCTGTTAATGCTACCTCGCAATCGCCAACGTCCTCTGACAGCCACGTTTCTGTTATTGCTATAACATCGGGAAGAGTATCGGCTACCTGTTTTCTCAGTTCGTCAAGCTTGGAAAACAGACTCTGAGCATTGGTGTAAAAGAATTTTAGTTTGCAACATTCGACAGTGCATTATGGGTAAATTCGCGGGATCCTTTGATAGTACTCTACATTGTCGAGAAATTGAAGTTTTTTCCCTGTGTTCAAAGGAGACTTACGGTGTCCAAGAGGTGCTATAATAAACTAGTATATTCGATACATCCTTTAACGACTTTTTCAAATGTGCTGCTTCAGCTGACTCTGAGATCATAAACTAAAATATGCATCAGTAGGCAGGACTGAATGTGTGGAAAGTCAAGGTGGTCAAACCATGGCTTATGCTCTCTGCATATGTTGTGGCGTCGCTACAAATGGAAAGCTTAAAAAGGAACCATGGCAGGTTTATGCCCGAAAATGGACCGGAGCGATAGGGGATTGAACTCAACCCTTAAGGCTTACACACACATTTCCATGTTTTCATTATGCGTTTAAGACTATTCCAACGCACATTATCTCCGTGTACACTAAGTCAGTGTTACGTTGTTAACAGGGCATCTAAAGGCTCATACCTATTTTTCCTAATTAAACGGAACTAAATACCGCAGGCCCTCGTTGAGAATTCAGCCCAAATTTTCCATTTTCAGGTTAGATTCGACACTTTCGTCGTAGTTATCAGAAAGGTACTACAACGTCTGTGCAGACAGGGTGGTCTTCTAGCGGCGTTTCATCTTTTGCAGGTGGTCTTCTTCCAGTTGACATCATTGCTGCTTAAAGCTCCTTATTACTTCCTGGAAACATTCACATATTATTCGTCATCAGTCATCGTTACTAGTATTCAGTGTTACGCCAAGAATCCAAACAGAAAAGGAAAAGGCCAGGAATAGATAAGCTGCGATGTGTACAAAAGCGCGTCCTCTCATCATTGCCATGAGTACGGATACTCCATATCAAGTCTGAAGCAATTGTCCCACAATTGTGGGTCAGAAAGTGTACATTTGGGAGTAGAAACGTAAAATTATGTGGTTTATTTTCTCACGAACACTTACGCTTTTTGAGAAAATCAAAGCACTGCCAATCTGGCCAAACCTGATCCTGGGTTATGTTCCGTACTTATAAAACCGTAATATACCGGGTCTGCATACTCGCAGCCGGCGATTATGTTGTATCCAATCATTTTGAGTGTGTCTGAGTGAACTAATACTATTTGGCAGCATTAACCATAAACAGTTCTGTTAAGAAACCTAAAGCCGTTCTGCCAAAAAGTCTTCACGTTATAGCCTTTTCTCTTTGTGTACCATCTGCATTGTTCTAATTAGCTTACTAAGTGGCGCCCAAATCCCACCTGAGGAGGCCTGTCTTTGTATAAGTTTGGGCCATATGTCGGTCATTCCGAGGTTCGGTGTTTCGAATCGGTTTCGTATGTCTATTGCATTTTATTGTCTGTGATCTCTTAAGGTGAAAACGAGGACAACGCCCCCAAAAACGGCAACCGATTTTATTCAGGAATTGGAGGCTCCGGTGACTCATCAAACACCAATTCGACAGAGGATAAAAAGAGTCGGCCGACAACCGCTAACGGACAGGTGACGGCATACTCTTCTGTGCTTTTCAGCGCTATATGTCCTTCAGTTTTTGCCCTTTTATTTCATTGACATACTTTGCTTAATCGTTGGACGGGGTTTTGTTGACGCTTGGTTTTCTTTATGCAAAAATTCACGCGACCTTTTAGTCCTTTTCCCATTATTTATTTTGATCTTTAGAAATCCTTCGGGCCACGTGGAAATCTGTTCGTAAACCAAACAGCAACTTTGAAATAATATTTCCGGATAGCATTCTACTCGCCCAGGGCAAGCCCGGTTGCCCGGTCGCGGGCTAGTGCTGCGATTGACTGGATTTTTCCGGCAATTCTAGCGGACACTATCTACACGGGGAAAGTAGGTTTACGCGCCTTCTCCGGCGAGTTGAGGGCGTTGTAGCCCGAGGCGATTTAAGTCTCCTGACAGGGACCTAAATTCCGGATAAAGTGTGTGCGCGCACCCTGCATGCGTGCGTATGCTCAAAGGGACCCTCCAGGCGTGACGTTCAAAATCCACTCGGGTGAACATCAAGGAGGGGGTGTAGCAGAAAAGCTCCTTTCCTCGCACAGATCGATCACTGAGCCAGTCAGGTTACTAGCCCTACACTAGCCCGCAAATCAAACGTGCTAGCAAATGTCTGGCCCTGGGCAACTACATGCTATCAGGGTTGTACCCATCACTACCAATTTTATGTCACGAGGCACTTTTGCAGATGAGTAATATGTTAAAGGACTGTCTACAG